TTTTTTTTTTGGATTATTTCTTCAAAAAGAACTTTGCGGAAGCATGATACGGTTTCCTCTCGTACAACTGTGCAATGTATTTTTCCCTGAAACACTTAGTGAAGTTAGACTTCTGTGGTCTTAACCAAGTTAAAATCGAATTTCGGTACTCTGCTAGCAAAGACTATTAATTTATCGCAAAGATACTTTTTCAGCTGGGGAGATTTTAATAACATCTTTCTCCAGCTATGCACCAGCTACTTTAACCAGTGCTACATCACTTGTTGTTCAATCTGCTGGTGATCCTGACGTTCGTCTTGTTTCTTAAAAGAATTATTAGTGATCCTTAAAACAAAATCACTTGACAAGGTTTTAGCCGTAGCGAAATTTCACTGATGCATAATGGGCATCACCGCCTCATTTCAAATATTGCCGTTTTCAGCCTAGACAAGTAGTTATTTTACCGGCTGAGGTGCTCGTATACAACGCGATAATATGAAGTATCAAAAAATGACGAGTTAATTTTTCCGCAGTTTTGTCACAAAAAAGCTGGACTTCAAATCTTCACATTATTTTAGACAGTGCTTTCCCTTCTGCAGCAGATATCAGTCAATAGACTGTGCATTAGATACTACTGGTGCTTCTCGAAAAGCAATATAATTAAAATGGACCTGGGTGCTCAACAGTCAATTTTTAAGCCAAACTGATCCACACTTTTTTAGCCAAATCTTATTCCCTTTTGCAAATTTAACTGAAATCTTCGATTTTTTTTTATCAAAATATCCCTGCGTCCTTTGAGGGCAAAAGGAGGAAATGCCGGCCTTCCCTAGTTTTGAATAGCTCACTGACAAAAATGTTAGGAAGGTTCTACAGAAGAAGTTCCTTCACCTTGACGGTGCGGCGGTTGATGCGGAAAAGATAAGATGGCCATCGTTCGAAAATAAATGATAAATATCAGCAAATTCTGATGACTTGTGACCCAAAAAAGTTGCTTGTTATTCTAAAATAAGCGTTTGCACAACATTTGCAGTCTTGCCATCCACGCTGTAAAACAAAGAACGGTCATTTTGAAACCGTTAGCCTTTTTCAGGTGGTTTTATTTCTTTATTATTTTATACAAAACTTTTATTTCATTGTGAATATGAGTGCCGGAGGGCATTTCCCAGTGACAAATAACGCTGCTCTCATGCTGAAGGTCAAAGATTTAATTCTGCCAGTGCGACAATCAGTCCCTCTACGGCTAGCTTATTTGTTTCGATGGTAAGTTGATAATAGCACAAGTTAACTAGTCAAATCCGTCATCAGCTGCTTCTAAGCAACCCTCAAGAAACAGAGCCAACACAAGCTTGCCAATGAATGGGTGATTTTAGCACTTGCTATCATTTGAGCTACTTCCATGAAGGAATGAATGCGAAGGGGACTTTGGCATCGATAATGGAAGAACTAAGGCATTTTAAACTACTTTGTCACTCGATGTGAACAAGCTAACATCTCAAAGTTCAGTTAAAATTACTTACGAAAAAATGAAAATAATTCAAGAAATTATTTCGCAAAGCTATGAATGCGTGCATGTTAACTTTCCTTTCCCTTTAAGAAAATCCTGTAGTTCAGCTGTAATTTGTAATTTAAGAGGGGAGACGGGAAAGACAACGTATAATTTACAGCTGAAAATACATGACCGTTTGGAATTATCGCCATCAAGCTTTATCAATGTTAAAGGAAATGAGGAAAAACCGAAAGGGTCGAACTGTCAATGACCTATATATGATTATCTTTTGGTCCTCATGTCCAAACATTGCCATTTATTATCATTTCCGCTATGCTGCCGAACATTTTGTTATTTGATTCTGTGCCTCACAGTGTCTTTTATTTAGTTATGTTCCCAACAGGACTCGCACTGATCAATGTGATCAAATCAGAATCAACACCAGCTACTGTTTTTAAATGCCATTTCGCATCATTGATGTGATAAAAATCAAAGCTAAATCATTTCTATATAAAGCCACCTACGAGAATTTACTTCACTTTGATGCTTTGATCGACTGCAGCTCACAGCATTTTTCTTCAGCTATGCAGCTTCAAACTTTTCCAGTTGCTTTAACCAGTGCTTCGTCGCTTGATGGACAGTGTGTTGACCATTTTGGCGTTTTTTGACGACCTGGAGTGCTGAAATTCGAGGAGGACCATTGCACGTTTGCCAGCACTAAATAGCAAAGCAAACCGTAATAAAGCACATAAAAAACTTACATGTTCATGAAATTTCTAGGACAGTACTATTAGTTTTTTCGTGAATGATGTTGAAGCTAGAACTTTTCAGGATTGAGAAAAAAAAGCAAAAAAAAGAATCTAGAAGCAATTTTTTTTTTCAAAAGAGCTTCGTTTCTTTACCATTTCTGATTTAAACCGCTAAGCTTGCATTCTTGCCATTCTTAGATGGCGCTTTCTGTAATAACTTTACCCGCAGCGTGTATTTCCACTTCACGCTAAACAACTAACCGCATGATTGCCAAAGAATTTCTTATTGCATGCCGTGGGTTAAAGTGAAATTTTTCGCTGTATGATCATATTCCTATTAAAAAACTAAAAGTTTTTCATAAAAAATGAGTACATTTTCTGCATAGTGAGTAAATTTCTTTTGCAAAAATAGGTGCAAATAAGAACAAACTTCTCGTATTTTAATTATTGACTTGGAAATTTTGTGAAAATTAGTTTCCGTGCGGTAGAAATTCGTCATGGTACCTCATTGTGGTTTGGGAGTGACAACATTTGAGGGCGAAGTGCTGGTGCTCAACACACGCCAGCTACAACACTAAGCAGTAAAAGCCTCGTTGAGAGAATCCCGGAGATGATAATTCCTCCAAGTAACAAAACGAGAATTAATTAGGATCGCCAGCGGCTGTCCAACAGGTGACAGAGCACTGGTCAAAGCAAAAGGAAAAAATTGTCAATTGCATAAACACTGTTAATCAAAGTATCAAAGTACAATTTATATTTATCACAATAAGCGAAAAGCGAATCACTAATGCAGAGAACTCATACTGTCGGTGTACTCTGCTTTGATAAACTGTGCATTCAGCTGTGATAATATTGGCAAAATTTACAGATTTTGCCGCTTAATAAACAATGCGCCAAATCTTTGCACGCATCATCCTTTCTTTTCACTGCACTTTCAGTTTTGAGGCTGAGTTTTAATTTTTCAGGAAAAAAGTCATCTGAAAATGAAGGATTACGAGAAATATAACCGAGCATTTGCTTTTGCAATCGCAACAAACGCCACTGTGATAATAGCATGTGCTGTTGTCGTACCATTCACAATCAGTGAAATTGTACAAATGAAGCACGAAATTCTTGCCGGTGTCAAACATTTTCATGTACGTAAGTTTGCGCTATCTCAAAATTTAATAGTTTGGAACGTCGCGTTATTTACCCGTTATTAATGAAGCTACTGCAATCTTCTTCACTCTCTGTTTTGGGCCTCTCTCATTCATATAATTACAAATGTGCGATTAAGCGAACCCCTTCCACTTCTTTGGCGGTCTTTCCCTTTATTTCTTTAACATTGCACTGGCATTCAATAATCTACTTTGTTCAATTTCTTGACATAACCAATCCAGTTCTTTCTACCATACACTGCCTTGGTAATATCATTTACATCAGAAAGAAATCGCTATGTTTCATTGGAAATGTACCAGTACTCACTGGCCTTTATTTGTGCGACTTCTTGGTCAGATGCAAGCATTTACTGGACACTGAATTTTCCTTCCTTTTCTGCACATCGATTGCATAAATCTTCAGTGCTTTCAAATGCCCGAACAATCCCATGTTAATGTGAAACTTATTTAGGTCAAAAGCAAGCTAGGTGGGTCCTGTTGGGCAACTTTACAGATTAAGCTTTTTTCCAGCACTAAGTAAATAAATCGGTTTAGTTTTTTCTAGTACTCGACTATGCAGTACGACTAGCACGATTTATACGACGTTTAGTCTGTTAAAATTTGAAGTTTTTTTCAAATAATTATTGAAAAAAAGGTTCAGAAAATTAGCTTAGTACTATCAAATTGCTTTTCATTATACGACGCTGATGGTTTGTTCTACATCCACAAGATGGTTGGTCGTACATCCTGCAATTTTTACCAGGTTTTTCAGAAATCTGTTAGAAATAAAACTTTTTCAGAGACGACTAGATCATATCGAGCATGATTTGCCGCAGAATGGCAACTCATTTGTGGACAGTAGCGAAAGAACTCAGCGAGCGGTTAAGATTTCCCAGCTACTCCAGGATCACGAACGAAGTGAAATTCTTTGTAAATAATATTACTTAATGCTTGAGCAAACTGTCAGCACACCAGCGACTCCTGCGCTTCCATAATCAAAAAGACAGGACCCCTTTCATGTTCACCACTTATAGGAGACAAAGGCGCTTAGAAATTTTCCGAAGGTAGTGAGTACTTACAACAGCCTCTCACTGGAAGGGCTATCGATGGCTCCCTCTTTTAATGGTTTGCTTAGAAACAAGCTAATGGCGAGTTTGTCTCTATGCCAATATCAGTTTGCCTGTGATAGCACTTAGAATCAGTCTGGAGAAAAAGAGTCTTATTTTTCTGAGGTCGGAAAAATATTTGCTCGAAAACTTGCTTACTCGTGTCTCAGAGATGTTTCATACACCAAAAGACAGTCAAAATTTCATCCTCAATTGCCTGGACACTTTGTGGTGGAAAACACTTTTGAGGTGTCTAAATTTTAGAATCAGTGCAACGGCATAGGCCAGAGAACGAGCAGCATCTGGCAGATCAGATCCCAAGACAAACCCCTGGCCGAATAATGCTACCACCGATCAGCACGACTCCAGCTAGTAGTGATCTGATTATCGGAGAACAAACAGTATTTCGAAAAATACGGTGTAAATTGCAACTGAATGAGAAATGTCCACGTGGAGCACCAGGACCTCCAGGAGTGGATGGTGAGCAAGGAGGTTGGTTCTTGTAAGCTAACTCTCCGTATTCACTTTCCTGAACGTATTTCATGAGTAGCAGCGAAGCTGTCACTGATAGCTCCCTCATTCGAGGACTATTTTCTCTCGCAAGTACCGCTTACTCAGGCGTGTTTCCAGCGATGTCAGCAAAATTGGAAAAAAGTATTTAACGAATAAATTTGCAGAAAATGGAATACCAGGTATGCCAGGCAAACCGGGTGCTGCTTATGACGCAAGTCCTGGCGATTCAATGAATCCAGTTTGCATTGTATGCCCAGCAGGCACTGGCCCACCGGGCGCACCAGGAAAACCAGGCCCGCGAGGCCCGCCAGGGCCAGATGGCATCCCAGGATTATTTACCGGGCCTCCAGGCCCGCCGGGAGAAGTTGGGTACGCAGGACTAGATGGTTGGTTTTTATTGTTAGATGTCTACTTACAATTCATTTAGGCGCGAATTCTAAGAATACTCAAACAGTATTAGAAGTGTTAAGGGGAAATTAATGTAAACTGAGAAATGTAAATTTTTGACATTATCTGGATAATAAAATGCAAATTTTTGACTCCAGTTGAATACCGCGTAAAGAAATTGGAAACGTAGGCTGGAACGCACCAGGCGAGCCGGTGCGATCATGCGTTTTTGCACAAAACTTGAA